CATGAAGTATTTTCCTACTTTTTTCTTTTAGTATTTTATAGTTTCAGGTCTTGCATTTAAGTCTTTAAGCCATTTTGTTTTGATTTTTGTATATGGTGAGAGAAGTCTAGTTTCATTCTTCTCCATATGGATGTCCAGATTTCCCCGCATCATTGTTCTTTCTTCAGTGTGTGGTCTTGCCACCTTTGTCAAAAGTGAGTTGGCTATCAATGCACAGATTTATTTCTGGATTATCTGTTCTGTTCTTTTTGGCCTATGTGTCTGTTTTTATGCCAGAAACATGCTGTTTTAGTTACTATAGCTTTGTAGTATATTTTAAATCAATTAGCATGGGAGGCCTCCAACTTTGTTCTTTCTGCTTAAGATTGCTTTGGTTATTCAGGTTTTGTTTTTTTTTTTTTATGGTTCCATATGAATTTTAGGATAGTTTTTTTCTATGTCTATAAGGAAAGTAATTGGCATTTTGATAGGGATTGCATTAAATCTATAGACTACTTTGGGTAGAATTACCATTTTAACAATATTAACTCTTCCAGTCCATGAACAGGACATATCTTCCCATTGATTTTTGTGTATGTCATCTTCAATTTCTGTCATCAGTTTTTTATATTTTTCCTTACATAGTTCACTTCTTTCGTTATATTTATTCCTAGGTATTTTATATTCTTTATAGTTATTATAAATGACATTAATTTCTTGATTTATTTTAGATCATTTGCTGTTGATGTATAGAAATGCTCATGATTTTTGTATGTTGATTTTGTACCCTATGACTTTACTGAATTTGTTTATTAGTTCTCAAGACTTTTTAGTGGAGTTCTTCTGTTTTTCTAAATATAAAATCATGTATACAATCAAGTAGGTTTGGCTTTTTTTTTTTTATGTATCCAGGAATTTAATCCTTTCTTTTAGGTTTTCCAATTCGTTGACATATAGTTATTCATAATTGTCTCTAATGATCCCTTATCTGTATGCATTTCTATGGTATTCTATAATTTTAATATTTCCTTTTTCTTCTCTGATTTTATTTGGCTCTTCTCTCTCCTTTTTTTTTTTTTTTTGTCTATATAAAGCAGTGGTTTTCAACCTTCCTATTGCCACAACCCTTTTAATACAGTTCCTCATGTTGTGGTGACCCCCAACCATAAAATTATTTTCATTGCTACTTTATAATTGTAATTTTGCTACTGATACGAACCATAATGTAAATATCTGATATTCAGAATGTCTTAGGCGACCCCTGTGAAAGGGTCGTTAGACCCCCAAAGGGGTCACAACCCACAGGTTGAGAACCACTGATCTCAAGGCTTACCCATTTTGTTTACCTTTTCAAAAAGCAGCTTTTTGCTTTGTTGGTCTTCTGTATTTATTTTAGGGTTAATTTTATTTATTTATGCTATTTATTATTTCTTTCCTTTTCACTTTGGGTTTGGTTTGCTCTTGCTTTTCTAATTCTTTGAGGCACATCATTAGGTTATTTATTTGATGTCTTTCTACTTTTTAAAAGCAGTTATTGTGATCAACTTTCCTGTTAATATTGCTTTTACTGTTATTCACAGGTTTTGGTATATTGTGTTTCCAATTTTCTTTATTTTAAGAACTTCTTAAATTTCCTTCTTAACTTTTTCATTGATGCACTGGTCATTTGGGAAGCATGTTGCTTAATTTCCATGTATTTGTACAGTTTCCAAAGTTGTTCTTGTTACTGAAGTTTAGTTTTATTCCACTGTGGTCAGAAAAGATACCTGTTACGATAGAAATCATTTTTATGAAATCTGAGATAATTCTTCTAAGACATTTTCATATTGGCAGCCATAAGTAGAAAGGAGAGGGTGGAGTATTTTAATATGGAGTTAGGTATGATAATTTTGACCTGTTTCAATCCCAGTTTTTAGCTTTATAATTGTAGGCTAGTGATGCTTAACCTTCTCTGGTACCCACTTAATTCACTGGCAAAGTGATAATGATGATATACGTACTTCACAGAGTTTAGGGGTTTTGTAGAGAAATAATATACAAAGCACATAGCACAAATCTTGGCACACAGAACATGCTTAACAAATGCTGTCTTCCATTTTAATCTTAATTTTCCTGATTTACTTTAATTGTGAAATAATTTATAAATTAAATTTATAAATTTAAAAGTGCTGGCCCTGTAAAAAATGTTTAAACACAGTGAAAATTTGTGTGTAGTAAGTAGAAATAAACAAATGTTTTCAATGTCTATCTTATATTCAAGTTTAGTATACTTTCTTCTAAAGAAAGCACAACTACACTTGGATATGTGTAGTTCAACATTTACTTTTTTTACCCTTTGACCCTTTTTCATATGAGGTAAAAAGTGGACTAAGCAGTCTTTCTATTTATTCTAATGCCTATAATCTCCTAAGATCATACTTGACCTTAAATATTTCTTTGAATAGATTTTACTATAGTGGTATTAGTTCTGGTGTTTTGTCTGTACAGGTAAATATTTACACATCAAACTCAGCAATTTTATGTGAGTTTGGCAGGGATTAAAAAGATTAGTAAATGACTTGTAACTTCTGTTCATCAAAGTATAACTATATATTTTAGAGAGAAAAACCATTAGTCACATCTCTTGAGTTCATGAAAACTTGGCTGATTTTTAATAATTAATAAGTTTTTTCTGCCAATGAGCATTAGATTACTGCTGAGTTTTTAGAGTCAAAGTACCTTGTGGTAGTTTCTGTACAGGGTTTAAAGGTGTACGCCAGTTTTTTTCTGTCCTGTTCATAGGAAATCATCCTTACAGATGATAATAAGGAGATTACCTCTAAAAGTTCAAAAATGCCATTTATATATTGTAGGGATTGGTCAGTTTCATTGTCTTCTTTTGTCAATCTTGATCGGAGCTTGCCGAGTAAGTCTATAAGCCTGCATGTGCCTGGCAACTGTTACCTAGTGACAGTTTCAGCTGCAGTAGCCATTGGCTGTGCTGTTGATTGGGGCAGGAGGACCGAGTCACCTTTCTGATGGTGAGTTCTTCTGCATCAGCCCTGGATGAGGAGGAGGAGCAGGGCTCGGGCTCAGGTGGAAGCATTGATGCTGAGAGATTGTGAAGAATATACTGACAGCATCCTTGTAACTGCATCACAGTAAATCGGACTTCTGAATCAAGCAGCCCAGCCTAGCAGCTGATAAGAGTGAATGTAGGTGAGAAACATTACCTTCTTCCTGTAACAACAGAACTATTTTTGATAAGTGAAACTAGGAATGTCCAAGGAGAAATATCCTATGGCTATTATAAAAGAAGAAGGACTTGCCTGACTTGGTGGTTCATGAGAAAATAACTTTCAGAAGAATGCTTTCTATTAAGCTGCTTCATTGTTCCTGGAGGAAATGTTTTTTACTTCTAGTGCATGTTATTTCTTCAAAAGGTATGACAATAAAGACTCACAGGAGACTCTCTGAAATGCCTTTGGTTTAAAAAAGACTTTGGCAAATGTTAACCTGATATCAGAATGACCTTGGAAGCCTTTTGGATGCATTCTATCCTGCCAGCCTTTCAGCATTTCAAACTCTAGGTTTGAACTCATCTTGATGCTTAGAGGTATTTTAAAACAAGACTATCTTACAATCTACCTAATGACCCCTGTATTAATTGAGCATCTGCTCAAAATAGAATAAAGAAATAGAAGAGGCATTTTCTTAACATATGGCTGCTACATAACTGCAAATATAATAAACAAGGTAAATTTCCATTTTCAGAAGATTTGGTTGAAGTAGTGATTTAATGTGTTAATCATCTACTGAAAATAGAAAAGGTATAACAAATAGAATATGAAGCCTACTAGAAATACCAAAGTAATAAATAATGGCAGCATTTCTAGTCAGATAAGCTCAGAGTATAAAGTTTTTATTATTGTCTACATATCATATATATTAATGTAAATAATGTGAGATATGAGTATGATTGCAAAGATAATAAATAACATTGAGCTACATATTTTATTATCATGCTTCATTGTAAGGAAGGTGACACATCAAATAATGAAAGTTATTTTCAGTTAAATATGCCGAATTAATTGCAAAAAGTATGTATTTTTGCATTTTATACAGGAAGAAGTATAATTCACATTGCTGCTAGTAGCACCAGTAATTATAATGGACTAAAACTGTTTTTCTGTAAATGCTTAAAAATGCATGCAGAATTAAAACTTCAGAAGTCTACTATATTTTGTCAGGTTTTAATATATTACTTCATTGCATATTATCTTTCCTATTGGAAATACACTTTTTTCTCATGCGAGTTATCAGGCATTCTGGAGGTCTTTTACCTCCATTCTTCTCCTTTATGCCCACAAAGAGATGAGCCTTTTAAAATTAACCTTAATGGAGTTGTTTTTCTTAGATTTTAAATTTGAGAGAGAAATAGATCATAAAATTGACTTACTAGCATCAAACCTGGAGCTGAACACAAAGACAGTCTTTGCCACAAGGAACTTTTTTTTAGCTTTTCAAGCAAATCTAAAATCTTACTTAAATTCTAAAATATGAATGCATTTCATCATAGATGAAGCAAAAAACCTGAGACAATTTAAGACTTTTCCTTTTCTCATTCTTCCTAGTTGATGTCTAAGAAACTACCTTTCTCAGGAAAACAAACGACCCACAGAAGCTTTTCTTCCCTGGGCAATTGATTTATTTTTCCTTTTACAGATTTAATTTTTCTTAGTACAAGATAATAAGAAATCCATTTTCTCTAGAAGTGCCTTGTGTCTGCAAAAAGTTCTTTGAGAGCACTGACGGAAGTTAATCAGCGACCTCTTTTCACCCCCTTTCTAGCTTACCTCTCTCCCTCCCCTCACCCCCCTTAAAGCTGAGGTGTGTCACTGCTGCACTGAGGGTGATGAAGAGACTTGAACACTCTCTGGGACTTTCAGCTGTAACAGAAGCTCTGACACTGCCTACTGAAGCAGGTTCTGAAGCTCTCCTGTGCAGTGTTTAACAGATGCTGAGCAGGGCACCTGGTTGCATTAGCCAAGACTGCTGGTTTCTTTAATTCCAAGCCATGAATGAATCCAGGTGGACTGAATGGAGGCTCCTGAACATGAGCAGTGGCATTGTGAATGTGTCCGAACGCCACTCCTGCCCACTTGGATTTGGCTACTACAGTGCAGTGGATGTCTGCATCTTCGAGACAGTTGTTATTGTCTTGCTGACGTTTCTGATCATTGCTGGGAATTTAACAGTTATCTTTGTCTTTCACTGTGCTCCACTTTTACATCATTATACCACCAGCTATTTTATTCAGACGATGGCATACGCTGACCTTTTCGTTGGAGTTAGCTGCTTGGTTCCTACTCTCTCACTTCTCCACTACTCCACAGGTGTCCACGAGTCACTGACTTGCCAGGTTTTTGGATATATCATCTCAGTTTTAAAAAGTGTTTCTATGGCATGTCTTGCTTGCATCAGTGTGGATCGCTACCTTGCTATAACCAAGCCTCTTTCCTACAATCAACTGGTCACTCCTTGTCGCCTGAGAATTTGCATTATTTTGATCTGGATCTACTCCTGCCTAATTTTCTTGCCTTCCTTTTTTGGCTGGGGGAAACCTGGTTATCATGGTGACATTTTTGAATGGTGTGCCACCTCTTGGCTTACCAGTGCCTATTTTACTGGCTTTATTGTTTGTTTACTTTATGCTCCTGCTGCCTTGGTTGTCTGCTTCACTTACTTCCACATTTTCAAAATTTGCCGGCAGCACACCAAAGAGATAAATGACCGAAGGGCTCGATTCCCCAGCCATGAGGTAGATACGTCCAGAGAGACTGGACATAGCCCTGATCGTCGCTATGCCATGGTTTTGTTTAGAATAACCAGTGTATTTTACATGCTGTGGCTTCCTTATATCATTTACTTTCTTCTAGAAAGCTCCCGTGTCTTGGACAATCCAACACTGTCCTTCCTAACAACCTGGCTTGCTATAAGTAATAGTTTTTGTAACTGTGTGATATATAGCCTCTCCAACAGCGTTTTCCGGCTAGGCCTCCGAAGACTGTCTGAGACAATGTGCACATCTTGTATGTGTGTGAATGATCAGGAAACACAAGGCCCCAAACCTAGGAAACGGGCTAATTCCTTCTCCATTTGAAGAGGACTATGTAGTAAATCAAATGAAATCTGACAGTGGTTTTGGATTGTAGTCTTGATTCATGTGGAAATTTGCCATCATACATATATTTACTTGAATAATTGACTATGAAGTGAAGGGTGAGACTAAAGGTTTCTTTTCTTTTTCCTTTTCGTGGAAGAAACTGAAGGAAAGGATGTATAGAGGGTTATCTCATAAGATAATTATAGCGTGTGAGTATAATTGTGCAGTAATAGGAAAAATTAAGCAGTAAGGATGAAAAAAGTATCTCATACCTTTTGTAGGAATTCAGCAAGCCCCTCGGCATCTGTGTCTCTGATTATAAATACTCTCTTCCTCTTTGTCTCTCATTTTGTCTATCTCTGTTTTGCTCTTTCTTTGGCTTTTTGCAAGTTATGACTTATATAAATTGCCCTTTATAGAAAAATGCTACATATTATTTTTGTGATTAAGAATAATCTTTTGCATCAAAGTGTACTTTTAAACACACTGATCTGCCACCCATAAGTAGTCTTTTCATGGAGGATGTGCAGTAACATTGCATTTTATTATATGCCACATAACCCCCTTGCTTGTGCTTTTATTATCTACAATGCAGCACAAATTGTCTGTTATAAACAAATAAAAATAGCATTTTTGTTTCTTCTGGGTAAAATGACATTTGCTTTTTACCCTCTTCCTAACAGCCTGCTTTTTTTTTTCCTCTCTTTTTTTCTTGATCTGTATCCTTTGGTACTTTCAAAGTGTCTTAGCTAATGATAGAATCTGCAGTATAAAGCAACCATAATGTTAAGTAATTCGTTCTTTCCAACAAAGCAATCTGGTAGTCTGTTAAATATTTTTAATGATTTTTGGAAACGTTTTTATCTGGTTCCTTTTAATTATTTCATATGCCTAAAAGTGATGTCTTTTTTTGTGATAGAAAAGCTTCATTTTTCAAGAAAACCCACAAATAATTCTAATGCACATGCAAAGTACTCACCCAGCAATGAGATATCTATCTTAATGCTACTTGGAATTTCCTGTTTAAAAAAACAAAACAGAACAGTGAAACATTAATCTTTTCTGTGCTAGGTCTACAATATCTTAGGCTGTGTCTACTACTCATCTGTGTGATATGTGTTTGCACATACTATATTTTTTACAGCAAGGAAAATGTAAACTATATTATGTGATCTGTGCCTAATTTTTTTTAGCACAATATATAGATCAATGTTGTTTAAGTTGTCAACATTGGAAAAAGTGTATACAAATCTTATTTTAAGAGAAAAATACTTTTGTGTAGTTATTCAGATATTTATATTAGATGAAGCTGCATTTTTAGTGCTGCTAAAAATACAATATACTTTATCAAATACAGGTAAGAGCTGTCAGTATTTTCTTTTGTAATGATCTGTTTTCAGACGCAGAGATTAACTTATTTTTTAGTTTGCTAAATGAGATTGTGTAATTCATTGTCAGGGGTTTAGATGTAGCAAAGTGGCATTTGGGGAATTAGTACTGAAGCAGGTATGAATAGTAAAACATCTAAATCTTACTTTTTTACCATGAGTTCTTGCCTGAAACATATTTTAAAATTTATATCAAACTACTGAGTATTTTTCTTCTCAGCATTTTTGATTTCTTTGTTTTATGAAATGCATTTAATGAAATGTGCCTATGACTCTTCAAATTAAAAGCCAACCAACCATGTTTGCACACTGGTGGTTTGACTTCACAAGTCCTTTAGTAGAAATATTGTCATTTTATTGAGGTTGTTCTGAACCCCTGTATATTTTTAAACATGTACAAAAGGATTAAAATAAAGAATAAAATAGTATTCTATATACATCAAAATCAGACTTTGCTTCAGTTTAATGAAACATTTCCTTAGAATACAAGTTTACTTATTTGGGAATCAAAATCTAATTGTTTTACACTCTGTAGCTTGAGATTATATTATTCCTTCTTTACCATTGGGCATCCTGGATGAGTCAAAGTGTGCCTTTTAAATTCAGACTAGTACAAGAAAATCATAAAGTTTAAGAAAACATAGTACTGCTAACTTTTCAGGTGTCATAAATAAAACCTTCAGTATTGTACATGTTATTTGGGAATCAGGTTTTGTTTTCTTTAGGGTGTAAGTGTAGTTAGAAAAGATCCAGTATAGATGCTGTGTGCAGAAACCCTGATTATTATTGCATTTTCCTCTCCTGGCTTTCCCTCATAATTTAATAAGTGTTAAATATTACATATGTTATAACATTTAATCCTCACTACAGCCTTTTGAGATAGTACTGTTACCGTTTGCACTATAGAGAAGGGGAAACTAAAGAAAAGACTCACTCAGCTAGTCACTGACAGAGGTTCCTGTGCACTCAGCAGGCCTTGAGCCAAAGCCTGTATACTTCACTGGTATGCTGCACTGCTTTCTTTTCATAAGAAAATCCCATGTACCTTCAAATCTTTGTACCTTTGTACATTTCCCCTACAGAATTTCCCCAAGTTTAATTTCTCTTTTCTTACCCTAAGTTTTTTGCTTAAATTCTTTTTTTTACAGTGTCTTTTTCTTTGATCTTACATTTTTTTTTATTAAAGTAGCAATCAAATTTGCCAGTTTAGTCTACATTCAAACTAAAATTCTTGATATTACTTTTGTTCATTTTTATTGTTTTCCTTGAATAACTTTTTGAAATCTTTGCAAATTTCTTTTTGGAAAAGAAATTTTGAAGGGGGAAAGGTGGTAAAGAAAGGCTTTATCTAGGCTGAAAGAGGCTGAATGAAACAAGTGCTAGGATTAGGTTCTTCATTTACTGCACTGTTTCATGTGCATCTCGAAGGGAAGGCACTTAACTTCCTTTCGACATATTTTAATGTGTTTATATAATAACAATACTTATTCTGAAATTCCTCTGCCTTTTTTAGGTTACTGTTTTAAGAATAGGAAGCATACCCATTATTTCTGTCATTATATTTTGTTGTGATTATCTTAGTTTGGTTATAAATGATAGCCAAAAAATAAAATGATGCTCTATTCTTTTACTTAAGCCTTCTATATAGGTCACTATGAAAGTTTTGAGACAGACTGTATTATGGTCCATCATTTGACATCCAAGTAAAACAGTCAACAGCATTCCCTCTGCTTCACCCATGAAAGTTCAACTTACTCTGCTTAACGATGTTGCTGGGAGGGCTTCATTTGTTTTTGTCTATGCTGATTTTATCTTCCTTGATTTTTGTGTATCTCAAAACTGTTCTAACGACCCGCATATTACTTGTATAGTTGTTTCTAAAGTTATGGAGTATTGCAAGGCTTTATAATTTAGTAATATATGAAACCTTGGCTGAAATCCAGGTCCTCATAAGCTACTTGGCTTTCAGGTAAGTTACTGAACATTCCAAAACCTTAGTTTGGGAATTTGGGGGGAAAAAAGGGCAGACACTCGTACCCTACATTCAGCTGGATTTGAGGACTCAATGAGATTTTAGTCTGTGTGCCCAGCACAGTTCCTGGCACATAGAAATTATTCAGCATGTGGTGACAGCTGTTTTATTATTTCCTTGAACGTCATGTTTGTCATGATTACAATTTAAAGGTCACTAATCCCACTTCAAATAGATTTAATACATTGCACAAGCATTTTTGTTCCCTCAAGTCTGTTTAGGCTCAAATTTTGAGTTGAACTCAGATATTTTAAATACAGAAAAGTTTCATAATTTATGAAAGCTCATTTCTCAGGAATAATTATTCATAAAGACATCATTTGAGATTAAAGATATCCAGTAAAAAGGTGTTGAGATGAGATAGTCTGGGATCATTCTGAGATTAACCTACCTCCTTACTTTATTATATTAAACATACTTAAATATCTTTTTTCTCAATAGGGTGTCAATAGTAGGAAAGGGTTCTCCAGAGATGTCTTAATATTTGTATTTGCATTTTAATTTTCCTCAATTATTAAAATGGAATTTGAGCTATTTTTTTTACATACTATTTATTACTCAGAAGAAAGATTGATTAATAAGCTGATTTGCTCTACAGATACCATTAATTACATGAGTTTAAAAATAAATGAAGTTGTTGCCTTAAAGGACCTTTATTTGTTCCTCCCCACTCTGGAAGCTAATGAATAGATGTGAAAAAGCTGTAATTATGTAATAAACAGATAAAAAAGATTAAGATGTGGGGAATCTGTTGATACAGCATTCTGAGCATAGCATCACCTAAGTTCTGATAGGGTCATGTTGGTAATGGGACCATGTGTTAGTGAGTCGATACCATATTCTAAAATATGTAGGTTCCAGTAGATGCTTTTTTATCTGAACAAAACTTTATTTTACAATTAAAAAGGATATGTAGAAAATGGTGTATTCTGTAACCAAATGTATAGATATTGAAAAGAAAATGGTTAGAAAAAACCCCTTTTTAATGTTTCTTATGAAAGGTTAATTCAGTGCTAGTTTTACTCTAAAATATATAGAATTTTTTCAGTAGTAAAAGTGGTTGTCTTTTAAAATATTAAAAATGATGTAATAGAATTTTTTGTTACTACTGTTTGTTATTTTTTTACAATCATAATTTGTTTCTTTTATAATCAAGAAAAGAAAATTGATGTTTTATTTAAAAGGATGCTGAATATTAAAAAAAATGTGATATTTCACAAAACACTGTGTGTTGATACTATAAGTAACACTGTCCAGTAATGTTGTGATACCATCTTATGAAGATATGTTGCATGACTTCTGTGTATTTGTTATTTCAGGTAGATTTTTAGAAAAACTTGATATTCTACTCTGATTATTAGATGTTGTTGACTTGTTTTTATTTTGACATAAACAGTTTCAAGTGTTACTTGGTAAATTTGAAATGGACCTCAGTCAACTGTAGGATTTTTAAATGTACCATTGATGACATTTTTCACATCTTCATACAACAAAAGGATGGTACTGCATTGGGAAATAGGCACCTGGTGTGTTACCTGCATTTGCTAGATTGGCAGGATTCTGCTTTCAGTGCCCCATCTCCAGAAACCATATTTATAACTGTTTTATGATAACATTTATTCTGTTTTTATATACGATTTCCTACAAAGGTGAAGAAAAACACACTTATAAATTCATCAGGAGTCGATTATGTCTGAGAAATATTTAATATGAAATGCATATGTGATAATCAGTACTTTTACTACAGTAAGTGAGGCCAAATCAGTTTTTGAGATTATAGAATTCTAGAAATTTTAGATGTTAAATAACTGAGAAACCTAGTGCATAATGGTAGAATTCACAGAATGGAAATATTTGCTAACATTATAAACTTCCAAAAATGATATTTTATACAAGAGCAAGAAGTATAACTATCATTA